ACTAGTTTCCATGTAACATCTAAGATGTTGTATGTAATTTAAAGGGTTTGTTATTGTAAGTACAAATCTGAGTGGGCATCCTGTGTCTGGCATTTCTGTCTCAAGACTGTGAAGCCCACAGGGGCTTGGCTTCCTTCTTACCCTTCCACCACCTTTTGTCACAGTGACATGGATCCTCAATGGATCCTTCATTTTTTGTCAACTTGACACAGTTAGACTTATATGATTCAAGAAAGGAAAAGAATCACCCTGTGTCCATCATAAAAGCATAATTAATTTATGGAAGCTTTTATTATCTTTGCATAGGATTTCCTGTCTTGTTGGGGTAGATTATAATGGATTAGGGGGTCATTAAATGTCAAGGTCCAATGAAGCTGCCCATCTACCAGGTGGGGTTCCATCTATTTCCTAGACACTGTGGAAGCTCCTGGGATGCAGCAGACATATATGACTTTCTTTGGAAGGGGCCCTTTGGGGCTCACTTTGGGGTTTCTGGTCTCAGGAAAGGATCTGGTTTAGTTTGGTGCTACTGTTGCTGTCACACTAATGAATGGAATTTTTGTAGGTATGGCTTATGGGCCCATGTGTCCTTTGCAATCTTTAGGAAGTGTTAACAGGCTAGCCTCTTTGGCAGTCCCCCTGGTTTTCATAGGGAACTAATGAAGATTGTTTCATCCCTTAATCCTTTGATCCCTTGCTGGGTCAGGCACTAAGTATCAGTGTGTGATATCTATGTCTTTTTGTTGGAGGGAAGGAGTGTGGATGGGGAGGAGAAGGGGTACTGAACTGGGTGATGGGACGGGGCTTTAGAGAGGTGTGGTTAATCTCTGAAGTTCTTTTAGACCAAAATAGACCATCCCACTATTGCCTACTTCAGATGAATTAACAGTTTCATAGTGGTGAGGCAGACAGACACCATGGATATGCTAGAACTGAACTGAAATTCAGAAACCATGGTGTGATGCTCCAGCCAGCTGCTTATGGGAGATCACTCAATGAGGAACCTTGTAGTCTTAGAATATGTGCAAATAGAGATGCCCTAGAACACACAGAATATCCACTCTCCCTGGAAGACCAGTCTTTAATGCTTTTACAGAAGACTTCAGGAGGTGCATAGCAGCATCTACTCTGCAGGGCAGCATATTTGCTCTGCTCTGTTCCAACAGGTGGGACTTGGTTTGAGTGTTTTTCAGAAGTGAATGTCTAAAGCATTCTTTCAAGAGTCCAGGGTGACCGAGGAAAGGCTCCTGGGAGTTCATTCTTGTTGGCTTGATTATCACATAAATGACTGGAGAGAGAAGGCAAAGCTTTACCATCCTGTAGGAGCTGTAAAGTTTTGCAGAAGGGCAAGAGTCCTGGCCCATAAGCAACCAGCTGTGCTGGCATCAGGGTGGTCCTGGATGCTTCTTGGTGACACAACACTGTCAAGAGGCTGCATGTTGAGGCCACCTGTCCCCATATGTGCTGTCATACATAATTGGTGTAGAGGTTGTAATGAAGACCTGCCTATGTTTATACAAATTAATGGGATTTGGGGACTTAGCTTTTACAAAAACTCCTCAGAAGGAGATTTGGTACCTAGTTGCCTGTTGAATTTGAAACACAGGGCTTAGAGAAGCCTGGCCTTATCAAATGAAGTCAGAAAGAGGGCCTCTGTGTGTGTGTCTGTGTGTGTGTGTGTGTGTGTGCGTGTGTGTGTGCGTGTGTGTGTAGTGTGTGTGTGGTGTGTGTGGCATGTATGTGTGGTGTATGTGGTGTGTGTATATGTGATATATATATATATGTGTGTGTGTATATATATAATTTTTCCCAGAATGTATCTTACCTTAGTAATTTTATTGAAGAAAAGTCCCTTCTACTTGAGTGATAATAGAGTAAATATAATTGTGGTCCCTTTCATCCAAAGCAGTCAGAAAATATGCAACTCTAAGAAAATCCATAAAAGATCCAGAAGGAGGTTGAAAATGGTTCTCACCAGTGCCTTAGTTTTATAAAAGCAGAATTTCTGTAAGCAGGAATGAGCAGATGGGATTTCACCTTATCTCTGAGCAAAGCACATACATACAGGATGGGCTTCTAATCCCTGGTACTGAACAGCTAACAAGTCAACATGAGGGAGGAAGGCTTTATTCTGACTCTCAGTTGGAGGATGCAGGCCATCATGTCAGCAGAAGCAGCTCACAGCTGTGACAGCAAGAGCATGAGGTAGTTTGCTTTTACCTGGGTGGATCAGGAAGTAGAGATCCAACAGGAAGTGAAGGCAAGCTACAGAAACCTCAAGGCCAGCTCCCTAGCATCCCATTTCCACCACCAAGGCCCCACCTCCAAAAGTTGCACCAGGCACTCAAACTCATGAGTCCACGGGGTACATGTACCATAATAATCCCTTGAAATGAATCTCCCATGAGTCATACTGTCTGTATCCCTTGCAGAGCTATAAAAGGAAGAGTGTGTGTGGGAAAATGAATTTGGGATTGATCTCATGAGAAATGGAAGAACCTTTGTTTGCAATTCTCAGAAAATAGATTGTGTAGCTACTAGTGGGTGGCCATGCATTGCAGTCAAGAGTGCATGTGTATGGCATTAGGCTAATAGGGGCTGAAACCCAGTCTTGCTTCACTCATTAATAGTGGACCTGACAGGTAAAACCCACCCTTTGGAAACTAATGGACAGCAGCCCTAAATGCAAAACATCGGAAAAATCACAAATGTGTCACAGGGTTGAAAGGAAGAGTGAGATCATGGAAGGAAGCTTCTGCAAGTGCAGGCAGAATCATTGTGACCATTCAGATGTCCACTTCTCCTCACAAACTGCCAAAGGCCATCTGAGACACTTAGTCAGCTTACTGCAACCAAGACTCACCAGCAAAGAGAGTCTCAGTGAGGGATTTATCTAGATTGGGTTGGTGTGTATGTGGTGTATGTTCTGTGTGATGTGTACATGTGGTGCGTGGGTGGTATGTGTGGGGTGTGAGTGTGTGTGTGTATGCATGCGCAGTGGTTGTGTGTGTGTGTTGTGTATATATGGTCCATGTGTGGTGTGTGTGTGTGTGTGTGTGTGTAGGATTGTCCTGATCATCTTGATTGGTGTGAACAAACCCAGCCTGAAAGTGGGTTATACCATGCCTGAGCTGAGGGCACTGGAGTATGTAAGAGTAGAGAAATCTAGAGGAACAGTAAGTGACCTGGCCTCCTTCCTCTGCTTTTGACTATTTCCTCTGGTTCTTGCCTTGACTTCCATGAAATGATGGGCTATAACCTGGAATTGAAAGCCAAATAAATCCCTTCTCCTGTAAGGTTTTTTGTTCATTTGTTTTGTTTTGTTTTGTCAGGATATTTTATGACAGCAACAGAAACGAAATTAAACACTGTTGCAGACAGGTGGAGTCTTCTCCTCTAGTGAAGTTGGAGCCACTCAGAACACATTTCAGTCCATCTAGGGAGGCGTACCCTCTCTGTCTATTGCCTCTTCCTTGTCTTCTGGCTAGGAAGCCCCCATCACTTTTCAGAACAGCTTGGTGATACTCATCAAACTCAAAATCCATCGTAACTATCTCCCACAGGGTGGGCATGAGCCCCCTGGCCTTGACCCTTCTTGGATACAGGTCTGCTTCTTTTTACCCATCAAGGACTGCTGGGTCCAGGATTCCACCTCCTGCTCTCACACAGGCTGAAAACTCAGAAAACAGAGTAATGGAAGTGTCAGGTGGCTCCTGTTTCCTTCTGGAACTAGAACCAAAGCTTGTGGTATAAGGTGCCCTGGGGAAGCAGACTAGGGAGAACAGCAACATCTGATTTCCAGAATAGAACGCATACAGTTGATTGGAGACTGTGAAAAATCTTACGAGGGTATCCCTCAAGGATACAATGCATCTGTCTACACTGGCTCCATCCTGGCCTCCAGTAGCTCCTAAAGAATGCTGATCCAAAATTGGGTCCGAGACATTAAGTCTTCCTTTCCCTCTCTGTGGGAAGTCTTCAAATATGTGCACATTTGCTTGCCCAAGATCCAGACAAACTTAACAAGTACTCCTTTAATACTGGAAAATTCCAGGAGCCCTTTCTGGGGTGGATGCTCAGGGTGGCTGGGTGATTTCCCTGTCCCTGGAGCCCCAGGGACCTAGTGTAGGGATTTCCCTTTGAGCAGATGGCCTGGCACTTGTAGCTTCCCCTACCAAAACATGGCATCTTTATTGCTAAAAGAAGTGTTCCATGGGGTGACTGTCTGTGTAATAGTTCATGTGCTATTATAAAAAAAAGTCCTGTCCAAAAAGCAAAGTAAGGGAGGAAAGGGTTTGTTAGTCTTACAATTCCAAGTTTCAGTCTATTATTGTGGGGAAGTTAAACTCAAGAGCAGAGATCCTTGCCTGCTTGTGTAAGTTGTACTTAGCTAGTTTTTTCTATTTTTTAAAGATTTATTTTACACACACACACACATACACACACACACACACACACACACGAGTACTTGTCTAGATGTGTACATTGCATGCATGCCTTGTACCTATGGAGGCCAGAGGAAAGTGTCAGATCCCTTGAAACCGGAATAACAAACTGTTGTGAGCCACCATGGGACTCCGGGAGCTGAATCTGAGTCCTTTGCCAGAACAACCAGTGCTCTTAACATGTTCAGGACCCAGCCATGGTACCGGTCACCCTCAGTGTGGGCTTTCCTACTTCAATTAACAATCAAGACAGCCCAACAGACATGTCCACGTGCCAGCCTGACTTAGATATTTCCTCAAGAAGACTTCCTTCCCCAGTGATTTTAGGTTGTGTCAAGCTGACAACTAAAACACACTGATGTTTTGTTTCTGCCCTGTTTAACTCTCACTGAGACCAGCTGTTGTCTGGTTAATTGGAAACCCATAGTATTTGTCACAGGCCATGATTTGGAAGAGGGAACAATCAGGAGACTATTCTGGATCTACCTCAGGACTGCTGCATACATTGTACTATTCTGTATCTCCTGAAATCAATCCTCTTTCTATTTCTTCCAGATAACTTGTTCAAACCCAAAGAAAGGTGCATTTCAGAGAAGGAGATGCATATGAGATCTAAAAGGTACTTGGCTCTTGTGGAAGGTATGGAAAGAGTCGGGGAGGGAGGCTTGAAGGGCCTGGATGCTGTCCCTTAGGCCATGGTTTCCAGGCCCACATTTAAGGGCTGAGGTCTTCTTGGCTGCCGATCTGAAAACCTGACTGAGGTGAGCAAAGTTGCCGAACTGTGCATCGGAATGTTTGTGCTGCTCTTGGACCAACCTTAGGAAAGTGGTGGGTCTTGGATTCGGGAGCGGGCCTGTAATTGGTCCCTGAGTGATCAGCGAATTGTGAACTGGAACTCTTTAGATGCATTTGCCTCGTGGCTCTGGGCAGCAGCCATGTGCGGCTGCACCTTTGAAAGTAATTTTATGAGGAGGAGAGAACCCGTTTCTCTGGAGGGCCTTCACTGAGGCAGTCTTGAGGAAAAGCTTCCAAACTGGAAGCCAGCAGAGCATGGGAGCCAGAGGGGCCCCGGAGGGGCCACAAACCAGCTTTTCTGGCATGTCTGTCTCTGACAGTCTTGGCAGGGGCCACCAACATTTTCCCTGCTCAGCCTGACTAGTCACTATCCAAGACTCCCACTAACTCCGAAGATTACCATCCTTCCTGGGTCCTGGCCCCTTAACCAGGACACAGAAGCTCAGCAGAGTTGGCCATGTTCACACACATAAAATGTCATTAAGCTGTAATAGAGTGCCTAGCCCTGGGAGAGATTATAGTAATTAAATCAAATTGATAGTGCACTCAGAGACACCACCGAAATAGGAAGAATAATTTTGCCCCCACTCCAGACCCTAAATCTCTGCTTTTATCGTGATTATGTTGTTTCCATGATAATTAAGTAACTTTGGTTACCTACAGGGAACCTCTTTGAAAGTAAGAAAATAAGAATTGGGGGCATACCATTAATGATATGGCTCCCAGCATTCTAACTGGGGTTTACAAAGGGTCCCTCTATTTGAAGACTTGCTGTCTCACAAATGAAAAGTTGTATATTCCTTGCAACAAAAGCATTCTCTTCAATTTAGTGAAAAAGAAAATAAAAAAGAAAAACCTTTCTTTATTGGTCCCCAAACCTAAAACTGCTATTATAAGGCCTTGCCCACCAAGCAATTTAAATAATGGGTTTCAAGGCAGCATTGATAAACAGAGTTCTGTTTGGCATATCTCTGAAGAGGAGGACTAGTAAGCTGGATGATGTTGTATTTACAGCCTTTGGTGGCCCTTTTCTGGTCTCCTCAGATGAACCAAGCAATTGGACCTCTTTACTCGGCAGAATGTGCCTGGCTGGGCTCTGACCCTGGCTTCCACAGTCACCTGAAGCTACATTTTCCTTCATGTTCTGTGCCATGGATTATATTGGTTATATTTTCATTTAAATCAAGCAGTAGAGCAGAGCTGAGGTCCCCTCGAGATCAATTAGCCAGCTGTCCTTTGCTCAGTCCCAGACCTATCTGCTAGGATGCCCACAGTCTGTCTCCTTTCTCTTTCCCTTCAAAGCCTCCCGTTTGTACCTTTAAGCAGACACTGTGGTCTTTAACGGTATGTGGCATTGTATTGTCCTTGCCTTTCTTTCTATAGCTTACCATTTCCTGGTGTTATATGTGAGCTTTCCCAAGATGCAGATTTTCTGTCCTTCTTGGACTGCATATACTATTAAATATCGGGATCTCACCTGAGGAAACAGCGAAGGGCCAGAGGTGGGGCATGTAAGGTTTTGTTTCTAATTCCCAGTTGAATTGGATGAGCAGCTCAAGGAGAGGCAGTCTCTGATCTGAGGAACTGTCCTCTCAATGGCTTTGGGACCAGCTACCCTGTGGTCTTCTCTCCTGGTCCTTGTTCCAATCCCTCCTTAGTGCAGTAAAGGTGTATTCCTTTATTCACACATTTACTCAACCCTCACTAATACCCATGACTGACGAGGCACTGCCAAAGCACAGGCCCCTGTGTTACTTTGTGAGTAACTGTATGCCTTGTAGTCGGGCCACAGTGCTTCCCAGTGAGTAAGAGGCATTCAGCTTAAGGTCCCAATGCTGGCCCACCATTAGCCAGCAGAGGGGCTGTGCCCAAATCTCTTGATCTTGGTAGGACTCGTGTTCTTGTTGTATGGCAGCGGGACCCTATGTACCTCTTCCAGCTGTGGTGAGGACTGGATGTGTTTATTCACATCTGATGACTAGCCTGATGTCAGTAACCGGATGTCACCTGCTGATACTGTCATTGTCCTTTTATACTTTGCCCTCATGCTTCTAAGTGCAGAACATCTTAGCTGTGTTTCATCTGGCTTTCATAATAAGAGAAGCTGAGGGGGAGATGTTTGAACTGGGGGCCTTGTACAGCATAGCAGCCTATAGGCTCAGGATGCAGTGAGTCCATTGTGTTGGAGAAAGTCAGGTAGTATCAGTTCCTGAACAGTTTGTGTTGGGGAGGAAGCAAGCTTCCAGTGAGGGTCCTGTAGGCCCTGCTGGTAACTCAGAAGTTTATGTGGGGACAAAGACCAAATATTTGAATCTGTAATGTGTTTAGAATCAGCTTAATCAGACATGTTGTAGGCTAAAAGAAAACAAGCATGGTTTTAATGTTTATTTCCAGTCCATGACTCATGCTACTGCCACCCATCTGTTGTTCCTCGTCAAATCACAGGAAGTCAAAAATTTGATGGCCAAAAAGGGAATATGTAGGGAATGTTGACCCTCCAAATGGCAAATCAGTAGGCTGAGCATCCCTCCTTTTACAAGTGAATCATTGTCACTGCAAATACAGGATGAGTAGTGACTTCCACATAAACACATGGCCTCCCCAACCTGCCTGCTGCACTGCTCAGAGGCATCATTGAGACACTGTCCCCAGAGTGTCTATGTCCTGGGACCTCAGAGAAGTTCTTTTATTATTTTTTCGGGGACACTATGGGTTTAGTAAGGTTTATAAATATACCTGTATCTTTTTATTTTTAATCTTTTTAACAAAATAAAATATAATAAAAAAACCCAAAAGTCATCACATTGAAATCAACAGAAGTGAAAGAGTCCCAAGAGAAGGCACTAGAATCAGAGACTCACCTGTTCATACAGTCAGGGATCCCATAAAAATACTAAACTGAAAGCTAGTATATGTATCCTGAGGACATGTGCTTCAGTCTCTGAGAGTTCATATGAGCTTTGCTCGGTTGATTTAGAGCGCCTTGTTCTCCTGGTGTCCTCCATCTCCTCTGGCTCTCACATTCTTTCTGGGGGAGAAGTTCTTCATATGGTCCTTTACCATGTGAAGGCCCTACCTGTGGGCTCCTTCTGACTGATGAGCCAGGCTGCCCCCAACCCCGACCCTAGCACCTACCATCTGGTTCCTCATCATGCCCTCTGTCTGTTTTAGAATCTACAATAACTTGCCAGAAGTTAAAAAGAAAAAAGAAGAGCAAAGGAAAAGAGTCATCTTACAGAGTAACAGACTCCGAGCAGAAGTCTTTAAAAAGGTAGCTGCCTGGCATGCGTAGATGTGACTTGGGTGGTGCACAGTGGAGAAGGGGAACTTGACATCTTTGTTTCCCTCACTCCTCCAGCAATTACTGGACCAGCTCCTTCAGAGGAATGCAGTATGATCCCAGGTGGCCCTGCTAACCCCAGCCTGGATCTGGGAAGACTTCCGACGATGGATGGACCATTAAACTTAACACTATCCTCACACATGAAAAATAATTTACTTTACTTTTGATTTTTTTTCTCACTTTCTGAATGACCCAAACAAACAAAAGCAACAGTCCTGGAGTCAATAGGTCAGCAGTCCATTGCTGGGACTTCTATCCCTCCGAACCTATTAGGCTTAGCCCCTTTTATTATGTTGTTTTGTTTTGGTTTTGGCTTGCGAATTTTACCCATTGCATCTGAAGTTTTATTTCTACCCAAGAAGGAAAGCTTTATATATTCAAGTATGCTTAGATTGTTTTTGGAGGGGGGGAGAATTTTTGGTAAAAATTTTGAGAAGCAAAGATCTATCATAGCCTATTTTAATTCCCAATTCCAATGGCTGCCAGTTCTGAAATCCAGAGTATGGATCAAAGTCTGTTTAGCACACCCATCTGAAGTGCCAGAGGCTGACTTTAAAAGGGACAGGTGAAGAGGCTGAGTGCAGGCAAGCCAGAAAGCCCTCTGCCTCTCTTCTTCCACCCCACCCCACAGTCCCCTCCAAGGGAGCCTGAGATGACTGGGTGAGGACATCATTGTTTTTATAGCACACACGCGCATACACATGCGCAAACACACACACACACCAGATGTTATCTTGATCAAATGGCCTCTAGATCTCCATTCTTATTTTTTTCAAGTATTCTTCATAAATATATATTTGTGGAGTTATGATCAAATTAGTTTTTACAACAAAAATGGAAATAAATACAGTTATTTGAAATTCAAGCATTTCTGTGTAATGTATTCTGCTTAGTGTGACAATACCTGCTACAACCCTAGGGTGACACTGTGTCTCCTTTTACTCTACCACTGGCCATCATAAAAGTCCTTGCGATTCTGAGTGCATGGCAGGGAGTTTTGGCTCTCAGAGCTGGTGCAAGAGACACAGGGAGGCTGCTCAGGCAGCATATAGGAGCCTGCCAAAAGGGTTTGGAGCCCTGGTGACACCTCTGTCCCCATTGTAAGGTTGCTCCCTTCCTCTCTCTCTCACCGCTGCACGTGTCCTCTCTTTCTGGAGCACGGGTTCTGTTTGTTTTTTGTATATGTTGGCAAACTTACAAATTCTACCTGTGGGCTCCTTCCTGTCACTGCGCTCACTTGGCTATGCTCTTCAGCAGAGTCAGCACCTTCACGTTTTCCTTCCTTCTGATCCCTTCCTTCCTTCTGATCCCTTCCTTCCTTTCTTCTTCTGATCCCTTCCTTTCTTCCCTCCTTCCTTCCTTCCTTATTTCTTTATGTATATCTGTCTCTGTGTGTATATACAAACATGTGTGCTCACATGTTCAGGTATAGGTGTGTGGTTACATGTGTGTTTACTTGAGGACAATCTTAGATATCAGAGTTCAGGCACTATCCATTTAAAAAGAAACAAAACAAAACAAAAAACTCACTGACCTGGAGTTTGCCAAATAGGCTTAGCTGACTATCCACTGAACCCCAAGGATCTACCTGCCCCAGTCTCTCCAGACTAGATTACAGAATGACACTTAAAAAAACAAACAAATAAGCCGGCCAGTGGTGCTGCACTTCTTTAAATCAGCACTGGGAAGGCTGAGGCAGGCAGATCTCTTGGTTCGAGGTCAGCTTGGTCTACAGTACAAGTTCCAGGACAGGCAGGGCTACACAGAGAAACCCTGCCTTTAAAAAAACAACTAAAAAAAAAAAAGCCGGGTGGTGGTGGCACACGCCTTTAATCCTAGCACTCAGGAGGCAGAGGCAGGTGGATCTCTGTGAGACCAAGCCTGGTCTACTGAGCAAGTTCCAGGACAGGCTCCAAAACAATACAAAGAAACCCTGTCTCGAAAAAAACAAAAACAAAAACAACAACAACAAAAAACTAACCATCCAACCAGTCAAGCAAAAAACAAAAACAAAAACAAAAACAAAAACAAAAAAGCATAGACTCTGGGGAGCCAACTCAATTTGGTGTGCTGTCCCATGCCATGAGCAAGCCTTTTCCATTGACTAGAGTCTTCACTTGTGTGTCATCATGCCTGCGGGAAGCACGTGACAGAGTCATGAGGATCAGAGGCTCTGCGGTGCCACGGCTGTTCCTGGTCTGTGACCTTGAGCAGACATGCCTGCCAGTCAGCATCCAAGCAGGAAAAAGAAAACCCACAGTTATCTGGAATGTTAAATGGACTGAATTATTCACCCTATAGATGATTGTCTAGCAAGAAGTGGAGGTAGCTCTGAAGGACTCAAGTAGCCACAGAAATAAAGGAGATGCTCTGGAAGGATTCGGGTGTGGCTGCATAGACAACAGAAAAATGTTTGTTCTGCCATACCTGTAGGGCCCGGCCCAGGAGCCTGCTGAGCTGTATCTCTCCAGCGCCCCCTACTGACGAAGTTTAGCATTTTCCAGCCGCCTAAGGGAGACTATACAAAGGGCTGGAATCCATTTTAACTAAGCACACGCCAAAAAAAGGTTGCTTTGGAGGTGGAAAGGGAGAATACAATGAAGACCTAGCACAGTTGGTTGTTTAGCATTGCCTCAGTTTCCTTAATTGCCAGATGCAAGTAGGCATAGTGCCTTCTTCATGCTGTTGCTATGGAAATAAAGTGGATGTGAGTGAAGTGTGTGGAAGGATGCCTGACCCAAAGCAAATACACCATGAGTGTTTCCTGGCATGCGCAGAGGTGGGAGGAGGCTCACATGGGCCACGAATCGGTCGAGAGGGCTTGGCAGTGAGATGCTCCTAAAGGCCATTGAATGTGGCTTTTCTGCATCTGGTCAGTCCTGTAAGCAGGAAATTTCATCATAAAGTTTGGTTGGGGTTGGGGAGGTGACTCTCTGGGTAGAGGATTTCTCTAGACCTGAGAACCTGATTTCAGTCCCTAGGACCCACAGAGTAGGAGGGAGAGTTAACTCCCACAGCTTGTGTTTTGGATCGCCTCATGTGCACCATGGCATGCGCATGCCCACACACAAAAATAGTGAATAAGTAAAGCAATGCAAAATGTTCTTGAAAAAAGTAAAGTTCAGCTAGTTGGTTTTAGACTTTTTGAGATACAGTTTCATGTAGCCCAGGCTAATTCTGAACTCTGTGTAGCAGAGGCTGGCCTTCAACCCCAGATGTTCTGCATCCCTTCCCAAGTTTCTGGTTTCTTGTAAACTTACACATGCTCTCCATGTCCTGTCACCTTGGGGACCATTTCAAAGCAGTTCAGCAAAGTGGTGCTTTCTGTTTTTGTTTTTTTGTTTTTTGTTTTTTGTTTTTGATACTGTTAGGGCCTCTTTGGGTGCTCCTGTGAATTCTGTATATAGCTTAATTGCTTTTTGAAATACATACATTTTAAGTCAAACCTATGATAGTTAAGGACAGTCTTTCTTGGATGAAGATGCTGAGACATCTGTCCTTATTTTTCTTTAGTATCTCAAGCATTTCCAAAGCTCTTCCCATGCATTCCAATTCAGGCCCAGCTGTTCCCAGACTGGTGATACTTAAGGAGGTGGGTTTGTGTCAACTAACATTTTAAAGAAAGAATGCTAGACTAGACGAAACCAAATTTTGCAAGAGTTCATAAAGCACTCACCTTTCTGGCAAACCTGCTGTGGAGGCTTCAAAAATGCAAAGAAGGAAGAGTCAGTCATAGATTAAATGGCACTGAAGATTGTTTGTAAGGACAGTTCTTCACTAAGGTCCCAGGAAGGGGAACCAGGTAGGAATATGAGGTAGGAATTTGGTTTCCTGTTATATTTATTTTCTTATTAAAGAAATTCTTTTAATACTGATGAATGAATTTGACACAGTCTGAGCTTCTCTTCTGTCACAAAGTAATAACAGAACTATATAATGTTACGATCAATATGAAAATCAAGGCCTGTAGAATTAAAGCAGCCACCCTTTCCCATCTCACAGGAACTGGTCCCCATTTGCTGAGTCATTTTATTAGACTCAAACCTTAAGAAAGACTCTGGAGGATTTGAAAATTCCAAGTAGACTTTGCCATAGCAACTTCAATGAGCAAATTTTTCTCTGACAGTGATTCATTTGCATCTGAGGATGGTTTAGATCCAGAGCATGGAGACAACCTTTCAGAGTTGCAGCAGGCAGAGGGCTGAGCCGGTTTCTAAGAAGATTCCTGAGCCTGGACCAGATGGCATTTGAAATCCTTAGAGAGTCCAGGTGGTAAGAGAACTGGGCTGTCTCCTGGTGGCCCCCATGACTTCCTGTGGAAGGAGCAATTTCTATTGGGGCTATGCAGCCTGTCTGCCAGCTGGTAATGGAATAATGGGGAAACAATTGTCTTGGCTCTTCAGCCAGTGGCCTGTTGCCAACCCAACTTCCTGGAAGTTGTGAGCTCCCTGGGTGAGTCAGCAAATGCTTGCTCAGGAACTAGACTCTTTGAAAGAAGCACTTGTGAAGCAGCCAATCATGACAGAGTTGTGGTGATTTCTCTGTCTCATGAAGTCCCCACTTTTCAACACTTACTGGCAAAAAAAAAAAAAATCAGGCAATGGAGCTGGCCTCGAAGTGTATCCGATGACCCACAGTCTGAGTATGAGGCACAGTGGTTGCAGGGTGACAAGAAAGGGGAGGAGGCAGGATGTGCCTGCTCAGGGAGGGTGATCTAATCATCATTACATGAAGGTTCTGGGTCAAGCAACTTAAGAATGTGGTAGAAAAATGACTGCTACGGGCTGATGGGAATGTACTCATGTTCACTCAACACAAAGGAAGTGATCTGTTAAGTGATTAAAATGTGTCCATCAGCAGATCGCTCCACATGATAGGGTTCCTTGAATTTGTACTTTCATCAAAATTGCCCACAAATGTGTAGCTCTGTGGAAACCTTTGAAATCTGCTATCATGGATAGAGGTAGCTTATTCCAGGACTGGATCGCTTTGGATATTCTCTCTCTTGTCTTGTCCCATGCTGTTGGGACATTACCAGCTTGTTCTGGTACAGGAGACCATACAAACAGTTCTTTGAGATTCTATGGAGTACCCTCCCCGGACACCCTGTGGCTTGTTTTAGAGGGCATCAAGGTAGAGTCTTAGTCACATGAACTATAACAATGACAACTTTGCAAGGGTCTCTTCAAAAGTCCAGGACTATTCTTGAAGTTGCAATCATTGTCTCAATTGAAGATTTAATCTGAGGTCCTCATCTGGAGTGTGCACAGAGGAAGGAGGAGACGTGGAAATTCTCCTCTTTTGTTCTCCTGCTTTGCTGAGAAGATTCCTGGACATATCCTGAATAGCACTTGCCTGACCATGGTGCTGCCAGAAAGGTGACATCAAGTAGTAGTCTTCCTCCCAGATCTAAGTACCTCAGGGCCTGGGAGGGGACTTGAGAGGGGACCTGGAAGGGCACTGGGAGGGGACCTGGGAAGAGGAGACTTGACTTACTCAGAGCATCTCAAAAGAATGCGGCATTATTAAAACAAGCAAACAAAAACCTTTTAAAATTCTTAAAAGAGGGGGTAAGAAGGTGACTCAGCAAACTGCTTGACAGGTAAGTGTGGGGACCTGAGTGCTACCCCTAGAACCCACATAAAAAAGTCCAATCCAGCAGCATAACCTGCAATCTCAGTGCTGAGGAGGAAGAAACTGGAGGATGTCTGGGGTCAGTGGCTAGCCAATCTAGCCAAAACATTGAGTTATAGGCTCGGTGAGAGACCCTGCCTCAAAAACTAAGGTGAGGAACAATTAAAGAAGACATCCATTGTTAGCCCCTGGCTTCACATGTATTGCACACATGTACACAGAAACATACAC